TGCTCAACCACATCGCCTACCACTGTGCCAGCTGTCCTTCCCTCACTTGTGCGGGAATATCTCTCCCACTCCACACACACACACACACACACACACACACACCCCACAGCTCAACCTGAACCTTACCCACTTTTAAAGCTTGCTAAACTGCTGCAAAGTGCCTCCCTCTTTTAAACAGTTTACCTGGACCACCTGCTGTTGGAACGAATTCACGACAGACAAGTGGCAGGTGTCATATGAGAGGAGTCTGCCGGGGCAAGCCCCGGGAACTCTCTTTTATTGAATATTACAAACATTGCCACAGGTGTGCTTGTGGCTGATTGGTTTATACAAACACAAAGCAACTTGTTGCTGATTGGTTAACATAAGTACAAGGCGGGAATTACGTATGAACATTAATCACCGATAGATTAAAGGCTGGGAAACGGAGCTGGAACTAGACAGGCATAAAACCTCCTAATTAAATTATAACTAAAGATTGATATAGCATGACTTGAAAGAACATAACATGAAAGAATACAACAATCACGTTCCGTAGATGTGGTCAGCAATGCATTAAGAACAGGTCAGGGTACACTGTTTCATGAACTCAATGGGAACTGTTCAGAACATTCTCAGACTCATGTGCAGAGGCAAAAACTTCCCAGCAACCTGCCACTGGCACAGCTTCCTCACTTGACTGCCTGCCATTTGCCACACTCTGTAGATGGTGTGGTCACCTACTGGCAGACTTGTAAATTGCAAAACATGAGGGCAGTACAATTTTTACATAGACAGGAATACACACACAACACAAAAACACACACATGCATTTACACACACACATATCATGTGACGTCTCTCTGACCAGCTTGCTTCCTTTTAGAGCCTGCAACTTTTTGCACCTTGCTTTTAGCTCACAGGCCAACTAAATGACTCTCGCCTTTTGCCTTTTTAACTAACTAAACTGGAGGAGGGAAGGGCCCCTCCCATTTGTCATCAGACGCATAGCTCCTCTCCACAGTGTTCTTAATGGGCCATTACCTTTCCTTTGTTTCCTCTTAATGGCTCATCACCCAGGTGATTACCTCATGAGGAAGTCAGCCTGGCTTACAGTTCAACATAAGATGAATCCAGGGGTTCACAGTCTGGCACCCAGTTTAATGCTGCAAACATTGATGAAATTCCAACATTTACTGGGTCCATGAATTTAGGGGAGTCTGCTACCCTTGAACTCATAACAATAATATTAAAGAAGGCCCACAGTTTACACAGGGGCTATGTTCCAGGGATTGTACCTAAAGCCAAAAATGCATTGAGTCACTTTCCCCAGAACTCTGCCCCCTTTCCATCCCTATTTATTTATTTATTTATTTTGACATGCACATAAAGCTGAATATTCACATGTTAAATCTCTGTATGTTATGGTCTCACTGTGTGTATATAAATGCATGTCAAATTTGCAAATTTGTGTAGGCTTCTCTAAACAAACAAACAAACAAACAAACATGGTTTCAGCAGGCATTGGAAAACAGTACAGTTCCGGCCTAAAATCAATGGGTGTGGGGGTTCCAGAACATAGGTTCTGGAAAGATAAAAGACTGATTTCTTGTGAGTACAGGACATTGTATGGTACTTCTATTGGCTATTACAAGATGCAAAGCGGAGACAAAGGAAGTACAAGAATCCTGTTTGGTTGGGTCACATAGCTAGCTAGTTCCACATAAAGGAACACAGAAAAGAAGCAGCCAAGCTACAGAGAGAATTCCTTTTCATACATAAAGGTGACTTTAACCATTCCTAAAACAATTATCGTTCATCTGAAATTATGATATATGAGCCTCTGGATGCCATTGTTCTAGGTTTGTATCTTTAATTACCTCCATTATTAGAATTTATCCCAGTAAATAACACTTTGCCATTTGGTCAATACATTTATCAGACTAATCAGTAACATAGTAACTTTACACAGTGGATAGTGGTAATGGAAAATTAGATTGTTTGGAGGCCTTAATTTCCAGTCATGCACTGCATTCAAATAGGGTTCTCACACAGAATAAAAGATCAATAGCGCAGTCTTATGCAAGTCAACTCAGAAGTAAGTTTCATTTAATTTAATCGGGCTTACTCTCAGGTAGGGATGGATGAAACTCACAAATTCAGTCTCTGCACTCCCCTATCAGTTTATGGTTTTTAAATATTTTAGTGCACATTTCCCCTAGGCTACACATTTTTGAATACAATTTTGCCTAAGATTCACATTCTTTTGCAAGCAACTTTCCCCAATATAATGTTTTGTATCTTATTTTCACCATTCTGCATACTTTCCCCTAATACACATATTATTGTACCCTTTATTTGACTGAAGAACTGCATCACAGAATTAGAAAAATTTGAAGAATAGCCAGGTTTCAGTTTGAATATTGTTTCATGAGTTTGAATTAGGTGACCAGCACCCCTTTTCTCCCCTTCTTAATCCCTGTGTGAAGCTACAAGATGCTGCCACTTTGCCAGGGATGGGTTATGGTTCCCCTCAGTTTTCCATAGCTCAATTCTCTACATTTCCACATCAGTTTGCTTTAATAAAAATAAGTTCTCATAAAAATTTATCTGCACTTTAGTGAGAATTTATCCTTACACACATTTTCATAGGAAATCTTCTCACCAGGCCAAAAAAAGTTTTCCCAGAGCCATGTATTGTGTGAGAATATCTGAGGGACAAGTTCCGACTCACTACATCCCTGATGAATGCAATTTTCAACATGAATATATATCATAAAAGCAGTGTGATGTGGTGGAAAGAATAATTGACTTGAACTTTGATTAAAATCATCATTCAGTCATGTAGCTTATTGGATGGCCTTGGCTGGCTTACCCACCACGATACTGTCATGTTCTAGGGGATACTTTCAGGGACTAGGGTCCCAGTTACAGAAAATATAATCCTCCACCAAAAGTACTCAAAGTACTCAATAATGAGGGAAAGGTTGCAGATGCAGCACAGTGCAAACAAACCAAGGTCAAGCACAGACAATCAGTCTAGATCCAGACACGATCCATAGACAAAGTCAGGCAACAGCTCAGAATCAGTATCACATGGAATTCAGTATAACTGAAGGCAGGGAGACTAGAATAAAAAACTAGGAGCCAGAGACCTTTGCTCTTTCCATAAACTAGAAGACTCAAGAGGGAGGCCTTATATACTTTGGCTTCATAATGCACACCCTAACCACAGCTAGTAGTAATGACAAAGTATCAGAGATTGTTTACTCACATGTAGTCCAGCAACTCTGGGTCCATAGACCTAAACTGTGAGATCATTCTTCAGCCTCAACCTGAAACTTTGGATGCTGGTTTACCAGAGCAGCATAGAAGAAAGCCTCAGTATACATAATTGTATACACAATGTTAGAATTCAGGATTTTGACAATTGTAAAACGAATTGAACTTATTGATTCCTCCCAACATTTGTATTCTGCCTTTCACTTCTCAGCAGACACAAGGAAGTTTACAAACCAAAACAATAAAATTATTTTTTAGAAGGTAAAAGAGCAGATAATTAGAACATTGGAAAACACGGAGAAAACATTTTTAAAAAATTGCTCACACTATCCTGAAGGCCTTAGAAAGTAATGAAGTTCACTGAAATGGGACTCTCAAAAGCAAGAAATGAAGAGGGTCTCTGTGGAGATTGTTCCATAATCAGGTGCCACAAAAGACGAGACCCTACCTTTTGTTCTCACTAGCTAAAGCTCTATTTGCACTCGGTCCAGTAGGGCCTCAGAAACAGAGTGTAGCTCTTCAAGAGGTTCATATGGGATCTTATCTTGATCCCGTGATAAAGTACTTCCTTTGACGCACTTTGTTACATAATCAACCATGTCTCCACACGGCAATTGTTCAGTCGTAAATTTATTTTGTGAAACTAACAGTTTCCGAGGTGTGGGGAGAGGAGCGTCCCTTATCGCCATCGAATTAAAATACAGGAAGTCTGCTGGAATTGGTATCATTAGATTGCTGTGATATTTCATCAGCTGCACAGCCTGGAGGTCTACTCACTGAGTCTCTTTATATTCACCAAGTGTTTTGAATAGCTAGTGAGAATGTTTTTATGCCCATTGTGTGACTTAACTCATTTTCACAACAAATAAAGATACTTTTCATGTGGTGCGCTATGTTGATCTACATGCTCAGTATATTTCTCCAAGTGACAATATTCGTCTCTCCTGAATAGTTGTTAGCTACCTAGCCATTAATTCTCTTCATTAAGCTATCCTTTAATTAGCAGGTTTCATTGAGACTTTAAAAAAAGGTAACCTGGGCAGATTTGATCCATGGTGTCATTAATGATGGAGTTCAAAATGGAGCTTTCATTTTGCAAAACCAACCCATGCATCATTTCCCCTCTGGCTCCCAGAATAAACCCATGCTCCATTTTTAACAAGACATTTCAGCTCTTGATGATTTACCCAGCTTGTAAAAGAATAAAAGTCCAAAGGCAGTGTCATAAATTTCAGCCCAAGCTTCCGCATGCTAGAAACCATTCAGACACGGGACTGACATGTTTCTAAACCTGAGGCACTGGTTGCCGGGAGACCGAGAGGAAACTATTAGAGTTTCCTTCTAGGATCAATTAAAATGTACATTTAGGGGAAAAAAAGGTTAAGCAAGCGATAGCCAGGCATCTAATGAAGAGACTGAAATAAAAGGGTAATTTTTAAAAAATAGTCCACAAAGGTCCAGAGAACGGTCTGTGGTAGACTGTACCAACGTGGTTGGCTCCCTATGGAAGAGGAAGCTGTGGGGAGGCAGCAATTGGGGCAAATTTTATGTAGAGAAGATGGAATCCATAAATTGGAGGGCCATTGTGTGAGCAGACGGAATAAGAACACAGGAAACTGCCTCAGACCAATGGTTCATTTAGTTCAGCTTTGTCCACACTGACTGGCAGCAGCTCTCCATCAGGGATAACCCCCACCCCATCCCACCTGGAGATGCAAAAGAACGCAGTGCAGGAATTCTTCTCCTCAGTGTGGGGCTTGAACCCATGACCCTGAGATTAAGAGTCTTCTGCTCTACTGGCGGAGCTACTCCACAGAATTCCTAGGTAGAGCAGGAAATGTTCCTTGTCTGAAACTGGAGAGCGGCTGCTAGTCGGCGTAGACAATTCTGAATGAGATGGACCAGTGGTCTGAGCCTGTAGGAGGTTGCTTCCTATATTACAAGAGAAAGGAGAAGCAGCAACCTGTAGTTGCATCACCCTCTCTCTCTGGGCGGTGATGCAAATTGCACCTAGAGGGACAGGACAGACAAATTACTGTTGTGACAATAGCATGGAGGATATTGGTGCAAATGGAAGGAAACACAGGAAGCTGCCTTGAACCAAGGCAGAACTCTGGTCCATCTAGTACAGCCTTGGTTACTCATTTCCAGCATGAACTCTGCAGGATTAGTGATGTCTTATGGGGACCTTATGCATGCAAAGCCAATTTTCAATCACTGAGCTATGACTTCTAGTATATGTTGCTCAAAGTACCCCCCCCCAAAAAAAACCTGGAGCCAATTGGTAGAGAATGGCTGCAGCTGCAGCCCAGGTTTACCAATTTTGCCCCAGTGTTGCTAAGCAGGAACAGTGCTGCGGCTATCCTGGAATAACACATGTCTAAGAGCTCGTTCCCAGACCAAGGAAACAAAGAAATTGAAGTATTTCTGTACACTGCACAGAAAATGCCACAGCTTAAAATGAAGCTGATATCGATTCATTCTGAAATGCACACCGGCATCCCAATATTTCTTAGCCAAAATATATTTGCCTTTTATTAAAGGAATGTATTTAAGTTGTCAAGAAACAATAAAAAAAGGTTGAAACAACTTGTCAAATCAAGAAAAGGCAGAAAGAGACCAGATAAATAATTACAAGAAAGGTTCTGTCAACAAGACAGCCCATAAACCAAAGCTATCATTTTATTGATAAATATAGCAGCAGTGGTATAAGCTGAGGTGCTGAGGAAAAGTTTGCTTTTATAATGTTTTCCCCGACAGCATTTATTTAAGATAATAAAACACACTTACTTGAATATTTTGAGTGTCTTAAAATGACCCGTTTCCATTCAGAATTAATTCAGCAATTGCAGGTGGTGGGTTTTAAACCTATTTAGTAAAATAGAAAGGAGCTAGAATTTGTCCAGACACATAAAGCTTAGAAGAACATTCATTTACTGTACAATGGACAAATAACCTATTACCGCACAAGTGTGAGAGAAAACACTGCTTACAAAGTCCTGGGTTCAATCTACAATATCTCCAGCTAGGATTGGGAGAGAAACCTGGAAACCCAGAGGACTACTGCCAGTCAGTGCTGAGGTAGATGGACCAAGGGTCTAACTCAAAATTATGCTGATGCCTATGCTTCTCACATTAGAATTTTTGCATTTTCTTTGAAACAGCTGCTCTTTCTCTTCTTCTAGCCTGATGGTTGGCTGGGCTCTCTCCCCGCACCCACGTCCCTCCACCAAATCCATAAAATACAACAACAACAACAACAACAACAACAACAACAACAACAACAACAACAATTTATTACTTATACCCCGCCCATCTGTCTGTATTGCACTTTCTTCCATGGGAGCCCAGACTGATCTACACACAGAGATTAGTTCCATAGTATGGGGCATCTAAGGAGGCTGATTCAGAGAAGACCACAACCCAGATGATGATGATGATGATGATGATGATGATGGATAAATAAATAAGCAAGCAAGCAATTTATTAGTTATATGCCATCCATCTGACTGGGTTGCCCCAGCCACCCTGGGCAGCTTCCAACAAATTACAAACATAAAGCACAGTAAAAATATCACACATTAAAAACTTCTCTAGACAGTGTCTAGCACAGTGTTTTTCAACCACTGTTCCGCGGCACACTAGTGTGCCGTGAGATGTTGCCTGGTGTGCCGTGGGAAAAATTGAAAAATTCGAAAGATTTTTTTTAAAAAATATTTCAAATTTTCGCCCACTAGGCGGGCGCCAGACTGTGTCCTGGGTATGGGGGGGGGTTGACCCCACCCTGGGCCAGCAGGGGTGCTGATTGGCGCTCCTCAGGGGGACACCCTCCAGACTCCAGCCTGGACCTATCACAGTAGGACATCATCTTCCGACTTCCTTCCCGCCCGAGCACAGTGTGCGCAGCAGCGGAGAGAAGAAGACGTCACGACTCGAGTCACCAGGAGGACCGGAGAAGTTGTCATTTTATTTCTCTTCAGTCTCCACTGAATGCCTTGACTGGGTTAGGGACCCTTATAGCTCAGCATCAGTTGGTGGAAAGGACATGACTTTACAGGAGCAGGAGGAACTAACTGAACTGAGACAAAATCGTGGTTTCAAGCTAAGATTTGCTGATCTACCTTTGGACAGTTTTTGGTTGGATACTGCCAAGGAGTTCCCCTTCTGGCAAACAAAGCTATTTTGACATTGCTCCCATTTTCCACTACATATCTGTGTGAGATGAGCTTTTCAAGCATGATTGCTATAAAAACTAAATACAGAGAGAGACTGAGAGCTGTTGACGAAGAGCTACGTGTGTGTCTTTCTTCGATTCCAGCCAGAATATCAGCTTTGTGTTCAGCCAAACAGGCCCAGGTTGCGCACTGAATAAAGTATTTTATAATTTTTCATATTTCTGTTTACTTACTATTTTATAATAAAGTAATTATAAAATACTTTCTTTGTGTTTATTTGATTCCTATTCAAGAGAATTACTTTATATATAGTCAATATAGGCACAGAGTTAAATTTTTTAACATTTTCTAATGGTGGTGTGCCTCGTGATTTTTTTCATGAAACAAGTGTGCCTTTGCCCAAAAAAGGTTGAAAAACACTGGTCTAGCAAACATATAAAACTGATATCCAGCCCACTCATACATTGTTGCTGCTGCTGATACTAAAGTCTGCCACTATCAGTTATTCATTGTATAGAAAACATCTAAGCAATGCACACTAGCTATAAAATATCAACATACACAAGAAAAATATAAAAGCAGAAAATATCATAAGGAAGTTCTGGCCAATCTCATATAGGTCATCCAACTGAAAAGGGCTGTTGAAACAAACAAAGAAAAAGTCTTCAAAGCATGTCTAAAAATAAGAAGTGAAGATTCCTGACAGATCTCCAACAGGAGGGCATTGATTCCACACTGTTGGACTGGCCACACTAAATGGACAATTTTCTCATGGATACCAAGTGGCAGCCATTCACACAGGGACAGTTCAAAAGCATTCCTCCAGCAAATTCTTCACTTGTATTACAGAACATTCAGCCCATAATGAATTTAACTGTTCCTTGTTCTACACATCCTACTACTCGTGAAGAGTTCTCCCTCTTCATATGTCCTTCTGCACTCACAATATCCATTCATCCTAGTAAAGTAAAGGTAAAGAGACCCCTGACAGTTAAGTCCAGTCCCAGATGACTCTGGGTTGCAATGCTCATCTCGCTTTACTGGCCGAGGGAGCCGGCGTTTGTCCACAGACAGTTTTTCCGGGTCATGTGGCCAGCATGACTAAGCAGCTTCTGGCGAAACCAGAGCAGCGCACGGAAACACCGTTTACCTTCCCACCGAAGCACTATCTATTTATCTACTTGCACTTTGACATGCTTTCAAACTGCCAGGTGAGCAGGAGCAGGGACCGAAAAACGGGCACTCACCCCGTCGCAGGGATTCAAACCGCCAACCTTCAGATCAGCAAGCCCTAGACTCAGTGGTTTAACCCACAGCACCACCCGCATCCCTATTCATTCTAGTACCTCCCCATATAAACAAGATAGCATCTCTGTGATGCCACCTTCCTTCTTCCATCCAATCTCACTCAAAAATCCCCCATAACTATACCTTTTCTTTGAAGCCTTTGAAACAAGCCCCTAGTCACCGTAATCTATTGCAGAGCCAAGGGAATTATGGTCCTCCTGATATTACTGGACTCCAACTCACATGAGCCCCAGTCAGCATAGACAATAGCCAAGGATAGTGGGAGTCCAAGACCAGAACTACCCTAACTCTGCTCTACTGTAATCAATCCTAAGTACCTGGAACTGAAATAAAGGCCTATTTTTCCCCTCATTTGTAAAGCACAATGGATGTGAATATTGTTAAAACAACAATCCAACCAGGAACGGATATTGATTTAACATACCGGGGAGGGGGTGTGCCCTCAGGCAATAGGGTCTCAGTCCTAAGAAGACAAATTTTATACCAAAACACTTACCCAAGAGAGCAGTGTTTAAGGTACAGCATAGACTCAACTAGCCAAGGTCAAGCACATGAATCAGCCTAGATCCAAAATATATCTGAGAAACTAGACCAAGCAACAGTCTTCAGTCAAGATCACAGGGAATTCAGCAAGACAGGAGGCATTAGAAGTTACTAGAAGGGCCCAGAGATATCTGCAGTCTCAAAAAAGTACTAGAAGGGCCCAGAGATATCTGCTGTCTCAAAGGCTTGAGAGGAAGGCCTTGTATACTCTGGCTTCCCTAACCAGAACCACTGGCAGTTAAAGTATACAGAGACTGCTTACTCACAAGAGACACACAAGAGACTGGTGAATATATGCACATACTACATCAAGAGCCTTCAGGCTATACCTGAAGCTTTTGACACTGACGCTCTTGAGGACTTGGGGGGCATCTCCTTCTCTGCCAAGAGTTATTCAAAAAATATCACCCCAAAGGACCCCACAAGGGGATCCTCAGCATCTGATTCAGGGGCCCCTGCCAGGTCCTCAAGGTCATTGGCCTGTGGAGTGTTTGGTTTGTCCTCCAAGGATTGGCACTAGATCATAGCTAGCCTTGAAAACATCACAAATGTTAACCCGACAACATGCTAAAGTGTTGAATTTCTCAAATGGGGAATTTCAGATGGGGGAAATTGCCGTGAGTTGCTGATGACAGCATAGAAATTTCAGGAAGAAAACTTTACACCACCCAATCAATCATAAGGGCCAGATTTGCTCTTACTCATCATCCTAGGCCAGGTACATTGTTTCTCCCAATATCATATTAGAGCCACCCTTTATTTAAAAACTCAGTTCTAAATGCTTCCTTTAG